GATTGGTAAATAAAAAAAAAATGGACGGATGCGATTCTGCAATTCCATAGGTAGCAGCAATCAGAGCCTAAAGTTTGGCGACAAATGAAACGGCACAGCGTCTGCAAAGTCAACCGATTAATCGGTCGAGCAATATACCAAAGACACGTCTTAGCTTTCTTCGGTGACCTCCTTCATCAATCATCATCGTCATCACTCTCGATTTGCTCACCGATCTCTCTTGACGACCTCACCACCACTTTTTTTCCCAGGTGCTTGAAATTTGACTTCCGATTCTAGTCTATTGGCCAAGATTATACGCATCTCTGGATCTAGTACCGTACGATTTTGATTCGATCCGATTCTGCTACAGGATATGGCACCAGAAGCAGCAGCAAAAGATGAGCTGAGATTGGAGCAAAGGCATGGTAAGGCAAGAGTGAGAGTAGCAAGAGTTTGGCGTCAATCTCATGACGGAGCTCATCACTTTGTCGAATGGAATGTTAGCATCAGTCTTCTCTCTCACTGCCTTTCTTCTTACCACCGTGACGATAACTCTGACATCGTCGCTACCGATACCATGAAAAACACTGTATGGTCTCATCATAATCAAAGTCCAATTTTTAGTCAAATCAGATCCTCCGATCATCATCATAGGTTTCATTGTAGATATTATGATGCACTATATGGTTAGGATTTGGAACATATCGAAGTTAGTTTTGTCTTGACAAGTCTGTTATGATTGGAATGAAAGGTTTATGTGAAGGCCAAAGAATGTGGAGATCGACTCTCAGTGGAGGAATTTGCCATACTTATAGGGAATCACTTTTGCTCATTTTATCCACAGGTATGCACTATTACCACACCATACTTAGTAGTGGAGAAATGTTCACTTTGCTTACCACTCTTAGTAGTGAGTCTTTCTTTCTTTCTTTATTGTTATACCAGGTTTTCACTGCTATTGTCAATATCATTGAGAAGCCATGGGAGCGCGTATGCATCGACGGAAAACTACATTTACATGGTGGGTTTTCTGGAATCAGTTTTGCTATAGTTTGATAAGTTTCTCAATGA